TTTTCAAGGCTGAGGAAACTGATAGAATGCTTAGGTGATAAGTTCAAAGTCACACAGTTAGCAAGCGGCAGAGGCAAGATTTGCATCCCAGCAGTCTGGGGCGGGTGTACTTCCTCCAGATGGGATTACATCCTCACTAGCAGCCACATTTAGAATATTTTTTTTGAATCAGTAATTGAAACTATGTTATAATACTTGGGATATCTCTCCCTATAAATGACTCCCTCAAGTTGTATGCTCTAAATTCACATCAAAAGAACTCAGCCAAGCTGTTTCCAAGAACCAATCCTTGACTTTTATGGCACCATTCTCTTGGTTCCCCTCTAACCTTTCCAAGTGTATGTTTCCTACGTCTTTAAATGATTGCATCTCCTCTACCCACATCTTAAATGTTGAGATTCTCCGAGTTTCAATCTTTGTTCTTTCTCTTTTCATGCTGTAGTCTTCCTGCATTACCACATCCATGCAAAGAGCATCCGCAGCTATTTAGAATGTGTTGATGACTTCCAAAATATTTTTTTTTTCTCCAGCCTTATTCTCCTCCAAGGTCCAACTGCCTCCTGGTTACGCCCACCAAAAAGCCTCTCAGGTACCTCAGACTCTACATGCTCAAAGCCAAATTCAGTACTCCCATGCATATACATACACATACATAAAACACACATGCACATTTGGGCTTTGGAGTTGGACAGCCAGAAGTCTAAATCATGATTCCGCCAGTGATTCTGCTATGTGTATAGGTTTGGGCACGTTAGCTAACTTCTCCAAGATTCAATCTCCTCAACTCTTAAATGAAGAAACTCTCACTCACCTCACAGAATGATTGATAGGATTAAAATAGATGAAATACATAAACCCCTTAGCCTATTGGACCCAAAGAAATTATTCCTAATTAATACTAATTATCTGTTATTGTCCGTATAATACCACTTGGTAATATACCAGCTTTACTGCCTTGTTAATGGAACTACCGTCAGCTGGTTTTGCAAACCAGAAACCTCTGTGTCATTTTCAAGAGTTACTTTTATGCATCTCAGGAAATCACCCCAGTCCTCTGTCAGCTATGTCTCTTGAATCTGGCCCTTTTCTCCCCTACAATTTACACTTCTCACAACTGAACTGGTACAACAGCCTCCTAATAGCCCTCGAGATAACATTTCCTACCCCTTCAGTTTACTCTCCTCAAGACCCTGAGATCTATATTCTGGTGGGGGCGGGGGGGGAAGCTCAGATCATTCATTCACTCAAATAAATATATATACCATCTCTCCACCATGAGCCAGACACAACTGTTTTTATGTTACATCAAAACTCTCCCCCTGCTCTAAACTTTCTGTGGGAAGAAGCCCTGATTTGTACTGCTTGACAGTTTCTGACAGCAAATGCTACAACTCTCACCATAGCTGATTTCAGGTTACCAACGTGACATCAACCAGCACACAGAATTCCTGACAACTGAACATTCTGCCCTGTGATCCGGAACAGGCTGGCTCTGGCACACCACTGCCCATAATCCACCTCTTTCTCCCTCAGACCCCAAGCTCCAGGTTTGCTGGCCTCCGAGGGCCAGGCAGCCTCTTCCATAATCCTGCACTCACACGCATGCTCCTGTATCTGCCGGTAACGATGTACCTGCCAGGTCCTCCCTACACATATTTCTGCTACTTTACTTCTACTCTTCTTGAGTCAATAAAAATGTCCCATTGGATGGCTTGCCTGACTCCCCCAAGAAGTCTCAGTTACTCACCCCTCTCACATTTCTTTAGTAGGGGGATGGGACCACCGTGTGGTATTATAATCTGTCTGTTTATATGTGTGCTTTCAGGTTGTTTGTGAAGTTGTGCATGAAACCATAGCACGCAGCCTGGCACACCAATGAATAGCTGATGAATGAACGACTTGAAAAACTAAATCCTAAGACAATTGACTTTTTCATCAGACCTGCACAGTACATTTTCAGTCTGATTCAGCCTTTTAAAAGGATATGCTCTGACGAAACCGTAAAATGAGATAAAATGATAAAGATAAAATATGAAACATCTGAAAACAGATATGTGTTACTACTGCCAGGCTGCTTAATAATGTAGAAAAATCATTTTTGGCTTACTTTATTTTTTATTTATTTATTTTTAAAAATAAATTTATTTATTTTTGGCTGTGTTGGGTCTTCGTTGCTGCGCGCGGGCTTTCTCTAGTTGCAGAGAGCAGGGGCTTCTCTTCATTGCGGTGTGTGGGCTTCTCATTGCAGAGCACGAGCTCTAGGAGTGAGGGCTTCAGTAGTTGTGGCTCGTGGGCCCTAGAGCGCAGGCTCAGTAGTTGCAGCGCATGGGCTCAGTTGCTCCACGGCATGTGGGATCTTCCCAGGCCAGGGCTCAAACCCACGTCCCCTGCACTGGCAGGCGGATTCTTAACCACTGCGCCACCACGGAAGCCCATGTTTTACTTGCTTTAATTTTCACTTAATATTTTGTGAATTTTATTTATTGATTGGCTCTTTTTGGTTCAAAGTCTGAGCCCAAGTGTTCGGAGTCATCCTGCTGTTGAGCTCACTGCTGTGATAAAGATTAGCCGAGTGCTACCTTCTCTAAAATATCGATTTCTCCAGGGTACCTGAATTCAAAACTTTCCTTTTGTAAAACATAGCCGTAGCTGGATTTACCAACAATGTAAGTTGATCAAAAAATGGAAAACTATTACCAGTAATATAAGTTATTCAGTTCAACACTGAAATCCAGTGACTCTTAAAAAACCAGGCGAGGAACTAAACCTGAACTGCAGTGCCTGCCTCTGCCCTCCCCACCTCTCTATTACACAGACTCACTTAATAAACCTTGTCCCAGAGGAAAGATAAGGTGCAAATGATTACCTTGTCTACAGCTGTAAGTAGTTTAGATCTGTATGCACATCAGAGAAGGCCGAACAGCCAAATGCAGAAGCCTTCCAGGGGGAAGAAGCGTCACCAGCAGAAATAGCACCACTTAGCGCTTTTCAATGCTCATCAGATTCCACGATGATGCCGCTTAGCTTCTATATTTGTAAAGAAGTCATCAATGCCAACCAAGGTGAATCTGTTTTCAACTTTGGGAAACTTGTATGCTTTCAGATATATTAAAGTGAAAGTGAAAAATGGTCGTTTTCTAGTCTTTTAGTATATTTGTGTTTTCCTTGGAAACTTTCATATAAATTCGAGGTCTGTAATTTTAGCTTTATTTCTTCACAAACATGTACTGTCGTGGATGGTGTCTTGTCTGCTTACCTTTGAAATTTAATCAGCTGGTTTAATGAACTGTCCGAGGTTTCTCTAAAACGGTGTCCTGAATCTTCTAGGCAACTCTGCCCTATCATATGCTGTTGTTATCTTTTCCACCAGCGTTTTACCACACATTGTTTAAAAACTATGATCTCTTTCAGGGTGGAAAAAAATGAAGTGCAGTTGAAAAGGCAGTTATGCTGAAAGATAAACAGAGCAATATTACTTATCAGAATGGGTACAATTTTTGCTTGCTTAATGAGTACAATATATAGCCTTGCAGTATATACACAATGAGGAAAAAAAGCTTTATAACATATCAAGTATGCCATATTACTTCAGGCATAACTGTACAGGATACATATCTAGGCCTGAGAGTGTAGATAACAAAATATAAGTGCTTTGCCTGTCTAAACATGTTAAATAAATGAGCATTCACTATCGCATTCCAATACATTAGAAGATGTACTTGCATAGTTAATTTTCTTTTTAATGCACCACACGTGATCATTTGAAGCCCCAAGCCAGAGTCTATCTTAGTGTTTGAAGAGAGGGTTCTTTTCATTTAAACAAATCTTTATTTAAATAAGCCTTTCTGAAAAGGCTCTTTGGCATATCTCCTTTTCAGGAAGTTCAATCAGGGTAAAAGGAGATAAAGAAGCTGCATTATAAGAAATATTATATAAGTAAAGATCATTCGGTGCTCACCCCCCCACCCCCCCAAAATAAATGGCAACAGACTTATAAGGAGAGTAAAGCTAACTGGAATTTCACTTTAATGTTCTAAATTTTAGGAACTTTGTTTACTTGCTTTGTAGTTTTACGTATCATTCATTCATATATCATTCCCCAGTATCTGGGGAAGAGAGAGAAAAAGAAATAACTTCTTACTTCCATAAGGTACAGAAAGAGCACGTAAAGAGTAACTTCAAAGCCTCACCTGAAATAAATTTTGTGGTTGTATCCCTACCATGCTTGTTCTTAGGCAGTATAACATGTAATAACATGGTTAATGATTAAGTCAAGCGCTGGAAGGCAAACAGTTGACAAAACTCTCTACAGATTATGTCTATACTTGGTTATTAATCTTCTGCTACTGTTGGTCACTGAACAGTTCATCTGATGCAAGGAATACAATTTTCCACATAGGCAGGTACGAAAATTAATAAAGGGAAACAGCACTAAAATGGAGTAGGGAAGTCAGAAGGGGGAGCTGGCATGTACTACTTGACTTCAGTGTAGATCCCAACAGGAAGAGATGGACTTTGCATCTCCATCGGGGAGTGACACTACTTAATACCTCTCAGCTGAAGGAAGAAAGCATTTCTCCTTGTCTGACAACAGCTCAGCCAATGAAAGAATGTAACAACTCAGCCAATGAAAAGCCACTATATTTGGAACTTTCAATTTCCTCCAATGAGCTTTTTGTTTGTAATGGCCCCACCCAACCTCCCCTTCTCTATAAGAGTTTCCTCTCTTTTGTTTCACCAGACTTTCATGTGGTTGACCATAGCTGCCTGTCCTGAGTTGCAGCTCCTTGCTATTAAACTTGTGTCGCTGGTAAAGTAACTGGCAGTTTTATTGTTTTAGGTTAACAAAGGGAAGAGGAGGACAGCCGTTGTCTTGATCAAACACTCCACCCCAGTAGAAACTGATGTGAAAAACATGAGAAGGTCCTATTGACATCAATCCAATGTACAGCAGGCTAGAGCATTCTATGTCAATTCTTTTTCTTTTTTCTTCTTAATAGGGGGTCAGCTTTGGTGCACGACTACGAAGGCCATCTCTGAGGGTGAAGAGCTAATTGCCTTTGTGGTGGATTTTGACTCAAGGCTACAAGCTGCCAGTCAGATGACTCTTACAGAAGGGATGTACCCGGCGCGCCTGCTGGACTCAATTCAGCTGCTCCCTCAGCAAGCTGCCATGGCTTCTATTTTGCCTACAGCTATTGTCAATAGTAAGTGCTGAGTGCAACAGCCCAGTACAATAGCTTTGTAGTGGTGATGAGTATTTATGGGAGAGAAAAAAATAATGTCTACTGACAGGCAACCAGGGACAGACTTTTTTCTCCAGTGTTATGATTTTATTTTATATTCTCTCCAATTTTAAGTGTGTGTGTGTGTGTGTGTGTGTGTGTGTGTGTGTGTTCACTTCTCATGGGAGTATAAAAGGAATAACTTAAATTCATTCATTTCAGGTTGGATTCCTGAATGTCACACAGAAAAATCTGACATTCTAAACTAAACAACATTCAAGACGATTTAGCTATAAGAGGTCCAACAGCTTTCATTGTTGCTCCTATGGTAGAATAGTTTTGGTATTAAGAGCCATAGAGTTAAAACATAAAATAAGAAAAAGGACACAAAATCAAATTTGATTAGATACACCAATGAAGGGGAAATGTAGGCTGGATGAATCAAGACATCAGCTAATGTAAAAAAAAATAAAGAGAAGAGAAAGAAAAATATGTATAATCTTAGAATACTTTATATGGAGAATTTTTAAATGTGCCCTGGCAAATATACCTTTGTGATTATAGTCTGTTAAAAGGACTATTGAACTTAGTTTGTATTTCCTTGACATAAAATCAGTGATCTAGGAGTCCCAAGATCAGAATTCTAGACTCTGCTCTGCTTTTCTCTAGCTCTGTGAGAAAACGTGAGTACATCTTAAGAGGAGAGTAGATTCTCAAGCCAGTGGCAAGTGAAACATTGCATTGAGTCAAAAATGTCCTTGAAAATCCCTGAGACTTTGAATGATGCAGAAGTCTAGAGACTACAATCATGTCTTGGTATTATATATGTATACATATATACCTACATATATATTCAGCAGTAATTATGTTCTTGCTGTAACAGCATCCTTTAGAATGAAGAACTTCTCAGGTGTATCTGGAATTACTCCGCATCCAACCAGTGGATTCAGTGTACACAACCCAAGCTACTATTTCTGAATTTCCTTAATGTAAATGGAGTTGTTTTGTTTACTGAATCTTTAGTTTGATTTGAATAGTGAGGAACTTGAAATAACATGGACCCAACTTGAAACTGAGGCAAAGTGATTTTGTTACCACCTATTCTAGGAGTTTCTTATATTATTGTGACACTCCAGTGTGTGAATGTTAATTCTAATTATATTTGAAGGAATACTCTGTTTGCTTTCTATAGCAAGATAACTATTAATCCCAAATATATCACCATAGATGCATACAGGCTTTGTTCTCATTCTTAAATTAGTTAATCAATTAAAGTCATCCTGAAAAATAAACCCTTTTCTATACACTGGGCCTCTGAAAAGTATAAATGTAACTAAAACTTGGGTGGGAGGGGCTAAATAATAAACAGCAGTAGTATATAATTTTGTAATTAAATTGTATTTTAAAATTCTGTATTGTACCTGCTGTCCTTACTTCTCATTCGCTAGAATTTGGTCCTTACTTTTCTCCTTCTCTCCTTCAACAGGATCTCCTGAGCCAACTCCTTCACTATCATGTGTTCCAACTCACTATATATTAACAGTTTATAAATCACAAGTCCAGCTGTTTCTGGCGAGTTTCAGACCTCTCTTGCCATCTTTGCAATGTTCCTGTCTCTTTCTCACAGAAATATCCACTCCCACATATCTACTGTGACCATATGCCCCAGTGTGCCTGGATTAATCCCAGTTTACAGTGTTATCTGCCATCCCTCTGATCAGAGGCACTACAAAAGTGCCAAGTTTGCACAATACAGTGTCAGATTTAGTCACTCCATATGTGCCCCAGCCTGAATTCATCACCCATCTGTCTTCTATTCCCTGTAGAGATGAATGAAAACATCCCTTAACACAGAAATGCCAACAAGAAGTCTAGGCACCGAGGAGAAACCTTACCTTCTGCTCTAACATCTAATTGCAAAATAGTGGTCATCACTTCCAGTCAGTTCTGCTTCCTCAGTATAACTTTTCTTCTCTCTGTCCCCCTTTCATTGAGGCATTATGGAAGAGTGTTTACACCAGGGTTTTCCAATCCCAGTTCACCCAGTTGCATGATAATGGCAAGTTACTCAACCTCACATTCTTCACCTATTAATGAATGAGGGGAAAACACAGAGAGAGAAATTTTCCATGAATGAATACATGAGAAATACATATCATACATATAGCATGACTTAACAAATAGTACATGACTATTAGCTACAATTTCAATTCTGTCATATTTCACTTAGATTACTGCGGTTGTCTCCTACCAGTCGTAAGTCTTCCTTCCAAATTCACTACCTTCAAAACTCCACTGTTAGGATTATATCATAGCTGATTCTGTCAGTCTATTGCTTGAAATGATTCAGTCATTCTCCATAACCATTGAGATAGAAATCTAAACTTAAAAAAGCTGACAGGGCCTTTGGGAGTCTGTCCCTGACTTCTACAACCTCATCTCTCCCAGCCCCTTGCCTGAGATTACAGAATAGCCTCCCAGCCTCCACCCAGTCCCTCTCTCAGGCTCCCATAGCTGATCCCTTGATTAGGAGGACACAATCCTCTTCTCCACCTGACTAGCTTAATTTCATCCTTCACAAGGCAGCTAAGGCATGTCATCATCTTCCCTCTAAATCCTTCTCTGACTTCTTCAAGTACCTCCATCACTGTGTGTGGTCATCACGTTCTAATGTAACGAACAAACGAACCACTTGTTAACCAGCCCCAGGAGATCTAAGCTCCTTAACAACAGCTGTTTGGTCTCTCATTTTGTTTTACACCCAACTCAGCATAGATCTGGCACTAAGGAGGTACTCTGTGATTAATTTATTAAATGGACCAATGATGTCAGGAGTTGGCATCAAAGCTAACTTTAGTTCAGCCATTAGATCCCTTACCTTTTAACCAAGCAGATAAACCAATTCACATTGCTATTTATAAATGCCTATTTTTCTAAACTATAAATACAATATAAACAATTTAGGATTAATCTCTTTTGCTTTATGTTGGGATTCTCCTAGAGTACCACTTTCTAAAGAGTCTGTGGGAAGGTAAACTGCATTAAGTGGAACATTTCTTTAAAAATAGTCCTGTACTGTGGAACAACACCCAAGACTGCACTAGCCCCTGTCTGATTGCCTAATTCATAACCTGGGAGCAGACTCTGAGAAAAACTGAACCAAATGCTGCTTTACCCATGGTTGGCTCCAAGTGGGCAGCAGCTAACGTGTCCCTGTGTTTCTGCCTGCAGAGGATATATTCCCTTGCAAGTCCTGTGGCATCTGGTATCGGAGTGAGCGGAATCTGCAAGCCCATTTGATGTACTATTGCAGTGGGAGACAAAGAGAAACCGCTCCAGTGTCAGAGGAAAACGAAGACAGCACTCCTCAGATTTCCAGTATGTGCCCCTTCCCACAGTGCACCAAGAGCTTTTCAAATGCCCGAGCTCTAGAAATGCACATGAACTCACACAGTGGTGAGTGCCTCTCTTGTTTCTTCTTCTACTCCAGGAGACCCTCTTCTTTCTCTACATATATACGTACATTCATACATCTCTATCTATCTATAAAATCAAACTTAAACTTGCTGGACCAGCTGGTTATTATCTTTTGTCCCGAACAAGTATACTCTATTCAAAGGACTTGGGTCTGAATTATTTTCTAACGACTTACAGTGCTCAGTTTACAGGCTAAATCATTCTAGTTTGTTCTCAACTAAAGTAATTATGCTGAAAAACAAGTTTCTTTTTCTTTTTTTTTTTAAGCCTGTTCTTGAGAGCAAGGTGGCAACTATTCCCATTTATTTTGGAATTGTATGCCCAATTGTTGTCAGTATCATACATAGTATTCTAATTCCTGTATTTTAAAAACAACTGAAATGAATCAAATGTACAGAATTATATTAATTTTAGATATTTCTTTGAACATTCTTGGATAGGGCAAACCAAGGTTTGGGAATCATAGTTATTCAGAATATGAAACTTGTAAGTCACCTCCGGGTGACTTCCTTTGCTGTTTTTGCTTGGGTTGAATAATTAAAAATGGAAATAGGTGCTCAGTTTAAAAAAACTAACTCCAACCTCCAGTGCTCTAGTACAGTGCAAGCTTTTGTCTTTGCACCTATAAAAATAAGCTGTTTCCTTTCTACTTATTCTCTTCCCTCTCCCTACAAAGAGCTGTCTTTATGAGGTGATAAAGCAGGGGAAGCAGAAACAGGTTGGTTGTCTCACATGGTGAGTGTAAAGTCACGCGCAAAACAAAAATAGAGGGATCTTCCCAGCTCAACAGGAAAATGAGTATTGGATTAGCCAAGGAGAAAAGGAGACAAATAAAAGAAGTTCCCTTTTATCTCTATCTCTCTGCCATATTTTCATCTTATAAATATAAAAGACAATTCTCATTTAAGTCTAGAGGGCAGAGAGGAGGAACCAAGCCTGATGTAACCATATGCCAACAAATGGGAACAAGAGTTGACCTGAGTAAGTAAAAGTATCCAGATCCTGATTCCAATTCATAGGGGAAGGGGTCCCCCCGACCAAGTAATTCTTCAGACACCAACTGAGTGTCTTGCAATGCAACTCCACTCAATTCTGACACTGTGCAGGGAGAGCATTAAATTCCCCAGATTAAGGGGTCAGTCCTACAAGAGTGACTCCCCCACCGCCACCCCAATGCAGACTTTAGTCTTTTGTGCTTCTGACCAGTCGGCTATAAATCAGAGGTCGCCAAGACACCCCCTTGGTTTGACTGCTTTGCTAGAGTGTCTCCCGGAACTCAGAAAACCCATTTGTTCACCAGACACTGGTTTATTATAAAAGGATATAACTCAGGAACAGCCAGATGGCTGAGATGCATAGGGCTAGGTTTGGGGAACGGGCAAGGTGCTTCCAAGTGCTCTCAGAGCCTGCCACTCTCCCCAGATCTCCACATGTTTACCAACTGAGATGCTCTCTGAACTCTGTTTTTTGCGGGGTTTTATGGAGGCTTCATTACATAGGCAGGATTGATTAAGTTATTGGCCATTGGCAATTGAACTTAATCTCTAGCCCCTCTTCCCAGAAGTGGAGGAGGGGAAGAATGAAAGTTCCAACCCCTGTAATCACAAGATTGCTTCTCCTAACAACCACCCATCCTTAGGTTACCTAAGGGCTTTCCAAAAGTCACCTCAGTAACATAACAAAGCCACCTTTATCACTCTTATCACAGGAAACTCCAAGAGTTTTAGAAGCTGTGAGCTGGGAACCAAGGATAAAGACCAAATATATATGAGAAATAGATTTTACTCATCAGAATGACCAAATACATATTCCTTGTAAATCACAATATTGCATTGACGCTTACCCACCAGTCAGTGGTGATATTCAAAATATTTAATAACTGACTAAAAACAGGCCATGACCAATCAGCATGGATGTCGGTCCTAAATGACTACATTAATGTACTGGTACCAATATCAGCCCTGGATAGAGATAAACCATGTTCAGCAAAACCAATGAATAAAATTCTAAATTTGTACCAAAGATAAATTAGTAGGTTATTAATTACTTTAGAAAATGGTTTCTATTTGGATTCTTTTGAATAAAGACCTAATCTGGTACACTAAATGCACTAAGATTTATTTGATTTGCACATAGGTTATCACTATCAACTCTAACTAATGCCTGCTTCTTCCTAATGTAGAGCATAGTGCTGTGGTAAGAAGGTTATTGGATTAGAAATTATAAAATCTGAAGTTTAGTCATGGATCCATCACTGAATAGCTTTATTACCATAATCAATTCCTTTAGCCTCCTTGCATGTGTTTCCCGACCTGTAACATTGAAACAATGATGCCTATCCCACTACAATGCAATAATATTCATGAAAGTGCTTTGGAAACCATAAAGGGCTGTTATTATCATCATCTATGATGAAGGACGTCACAAGAAAAACGTTACTATCACAAATAAGATTCCGAAAGATTTCAGTTCGTTTCTGCTGTGTTGGACACATGAGGTCATTAGTAACGGTTCATATCATTAGAAAACCAATATGTGTGGTTCTCAGTATTCTGATTTTGTATGTTCCTCCAGGAGTGAAAATGGAAGAATTCCTCCCCCCTGGTGCTAGTCTAAAATGCACCGTCTGTAGCTACACTGCTGATTCTGTGATCAACTTTCACCAACACCTGTTCTCCCATCTCACTCAAGCTGCCTTCCGATGCAATCACTGCCACTTCGGCTTCCAGACTCAGAGGGAGTTATTGCAGCACCAGGAGCTCCATGTCCCTGGCAGCAAACTGCCCAGAGAAAGTGACATGGAACACTCTCCAAGTGGAACCGAAGACAGCTTACAGCCAGCCACAGACCTGCTGACCAGAAGTGAACTCCCCCAGAGCCAAAAGGCCATGCAGACTAAAGATGCGAGCTCTGACACGGAGCTGGACAAGTGTGAGAAAAAGACTCAGCTCTTTCTCACTAACCAGAGACCCGAAATTCAGTCTGCAACAAATAAACAAAGCTTTTCTTACACGAAAATAAAGTCTGAGCCCTCTAGTCCAAGACTTGCCTCATCTCCAGTTCAGCCTAATATTGGGCCTTCTTTCCCCGTGGGACCCTTTCTATCTCAGTTTGCTTTTCCCCAAGATATCACAATGGTCCCTCAAGCTTCAGAGATCTTAGCCAAGATGTCTGAACTGGTACATCGGCGACTGAGGCACGGAAGTAGTAGCTACCCTCCCGTCATTTACAGCCCCTTGATGCCCAAAGGGGCTACCTGTTTTGAGTGTAACATAACATTCAATAATTTGGATAATTACCTAGTGCACAAAAAACATTACTGCAGCAGCCGATGGCAGCAGATGGCCAAGTCCCCAGAGTTCCCTGGTGTTTCAGAAAAGATGCCTGAGGCCGTGAGTCCCAACACTGGCCAAACCTCTATAAACCTTCTCAATCCAGCCGCTCATTCTGCTGATCCTGAGAATCCACTTCTTCAAACACCCTGCATCAATTCTTCCACTGTTTTAGATTTAATTGGGCCAAATGGGAAGGGCCACGACAAGGACTTTTCCATTCAAGCTAAGAAGCTCTCCACCCCCAACAGCAATGATGATAAAATTAATGGAAAACCTGTTGATGTGAAAAATCCCAGTGTCCCCTTAGTGGATGGGGAAAGTGACCCAAATAAGACTACCTGTGAAGCTTGCAACATTACTTTCAGCCGGCACGAAACATACATGGTCCACAAACAGTATTACTGTGCTACGCGCCACGACCCTCCGCTCAAGAGGTCAGCTTCCAACAAAGTGCCTGCCGTGCAGAGAACCATGCGTACCCGCAAGCGCAGGAAGATGTATGAGATGTGTCTTCCTGAACAGGAGCAAAGGCCTCCGCTAGTCCAACAGCGATTTCTCGACGTAGCCAACCTCAGCAATCCTTGTACCTCCACTCAAGAACCCACGGAAGGGCTGGGAGAGTGCTACCATCCAAGATGTGATATCTTTCCAGGAATTGTCTCAAAGCACTTGGAAACGTCCCTCACGATTAACAAGTGTGTTCCGGTTTCCAAATGTGACACTACTCATTCCAGTGTTTCCTGCCTAGAGATGGACGTGCCCATAGATCTCAGCAAAAAGTGTTTATCCCAGTCTGAGCGGACGACTGCATCTCCCAAAAGGCTGCTGGACTACCACGAGTGCACTGTGTGTAAGATCAGTTTCAACAAGGTAGAAAACTACCTGGCCCACAAGCAGAATTTCTGCCCGGTCACTGCACACCAGCGTAATGACCTGGCTCCGCTCGACAGCAAAGTGTTTCCGAATCCAGAAAGCGAACGAAGCAGCCCCGATGTCAGCTATGAAAGAAGCATCATAAAATGTGAGAAAAATGGGAATCTGAAGCAGCCTTCCCCCAACGGAAACTTATTTTCATCCCACTTAGCAACCCTGCAGGGCCTGAAAGTCTTCAGTGAAGCCGCTCAGCTCATTGCGACAAAAGAAGAAAACAAACATTTGTTTCTTCCACAATGCCTGTACCCTGGAGCAATAAAGAAGGCAAAAGGAGCCGACCAGCTCTCTCCTTATTATGGAATAAAGCCAAGTGATTATATTTCTGGTTCTCTTGTCATCCATAATGCTGACGTGGACCAAAGCACAAACGCGGAAAATGAATCTCCCAAAAGCCAGGCTTCTTCCAATGGGTGCGCTGTGCCGAAGAAAGATTCCCTGCCGTTGTTGCCCAAAAATCGAGGCATGGTCATAGTGAATGGTGGACTGAAGCAAGACGAGCGCCCTGCCGCCAACCCACAGCAAGAGAACATTGCCCAGAATCCTCAGCATGAAGACAGCCGCAAATCTCCCTCCTGGATCTCGGAGAACCCATTAGCCACGAACGAGAACGTCTCCCCAGGAATTCCCTCCACAGAGGACCAGTTGTCTAGTATAGCTAAAGGTGTGAATGGCTCCACCCAGGCTCCAACCAGTGGGAAATATTGCCGGCTGTGTGACATCCAGTTCAACAACCTCTCAAACTTTATAACTCACAAGAAGTTTTATTGCTCATCACATGCAGCAGAACATGTCAAATGAAATCACAAAATAAATAAACATCACTCACCTTTGGTACCAGTGTTTAGTATGTTGTTCTACCCAGTACAGAAAAAAAAAAAAAAAGAAAAAAAAAAAAAAGAAAAAGAAAGCTGTTTGAATTACATCTGGGCAATCAGGAGACAATTCATTATGGCTGAGTTGAAGACTTAAGGTGTAATTTCATTACAGTCCATTAGTAAAGTGTATTATTGGTGCCATTTTAAAAGAAAATTAATTTATTTTACCAGCAGTATTCATAGCTGTGGTTATGTTATTTTTTATTTAAAAACTTTATATTAAAGTCATTTGTAATGTTATTGTATAGTTATTGTGTAGCATATATGGTTTGCACTGTATAGTAGCTTTTAAAGAAAATAGTCACAAACAATACAGAAAAGCATTTTAGAAATAGCTTCCAAAGCACTTGTGTATCTTGATTTCTTCTTATATGCTGTTGCAGATATATGTATATGCTAAAATATAACTTGCAAAGATGTTCTAAATACACGTGCTATAAGTTCGCCTTAAGATTTCAGTTCTTGGATAATCAGGCTCCGTTTGCACTTTATATTTTAGCAGATACAGTCTCTTAGTAACTAGGCTTTGCATTTGTATGTAGCCGTATGTTTCTGTCCATTTTCTTAATCTGAAACATGTATGTTAAATGAAGACGGCAATTTTTTTCTTGTATAGTACTTGTATTTTCTTTCGCTGATGCAGCTCTGTCTCAATTTTTAAACTTTGCTGTTAAATGCAATACTTTATAAGAATGAACAAAATTACTGGAAGCAGTATTGTAAGTAATGAGGTAGTATTAATCGGTTTTATCTTTTGAAAGGCACAGTCTAAATCGAAACCCTAAACTCAATGCTGCAAGTATGAATTTAATTCATATATAAGATCTATTTAAATATAAGAGTAGCAATACTGCACCTGGTGATCACAAAGATAATGTTCTACTTCTGATAGAAATAATTTCTCAACAAATGTTGTTACTATGCATGTATATGGATGGAATAAAATTCCAGATTGTTGGAGAAGTTTGGCATACTTTTTTTTTTTTTAAATACAAGGGAAACCCTATATACCCGTTCTTTGTAACAAGAATAGGTTCACAACAGTACTGGATAGCTGTAGTAACATGATGACAAAACAGTTAATATAACTTACTTTATTAAAATGAACCGGAAACTCCAGCCTCTGGAACTAGAAAAGTTCATTATTAATATGTAGAAGAAGCACTAGCTCTCTGTTCTCTACCCACCCCCAACTGTAGCACACAAAAAAGAACAATTTCATGAATGTCTGAAAGGCTTACAAAGTCTACCATGAGAATCGGCACCAAAGATGATCAAGTGCACCCAACTTTTATTTTTTATTTTATTTTCTTTAATTACTTATTTATTTTTGGTTGCATTGGGTCTTCGTTGCTGCGCACAGGCTTTCTCTAGTTGCATTGAACGGGTGCTACTCTTTGTTGTGGTGCACCGTCTTTTCACTGCGGTGGCTTCTCTTGTTGTGGAGCACAGGCTCCCGGCGAGCGGGCTCAGTAGTTGTGACTCGAGGGTTCTAGAGCTCAGGCTTAGTAGTTGTGGCACACGGGCCACAACTGTTGCTCTGCGGCATGTGGGAACTTCCCGGACCAGGGAATCGAACCCACGTCCCCTGCATTGGCAGGCAGACTCCCAAGCACTGCGCCATCGGGGAAGTGCCGCAGCCAGCTTTTAGATGGAGTTTACCAGAGAGAGGTTTGCATTTTGAGGAGCAGCGAAGCGGTAAAGTGACCCTGATGAGTAAAGATGCACAAACGTCATGCGGGCAATTTGTAAAAGACACTAGTTTTCACGCATCTCATTTGTTCTTTCTGAGGGTTTGCGCGTTGAGGGAGAGTGGAGAGCAGATAATGTGGGTTAGATCATAGAGGATCTAATGAGCCACCCAGAGATGTTGACGTGTGATTCAGTAGTCAAGATGGCGCCTGTTGCCCATCAAGAGAGATGCGGTCCACTGCAGTCTGAGAAACGCCCCGATCTGGAAAGGCAAGTACCTGTGGTTAAGACACACTGTTTGCAAGTAGGTTGTGATGCACTATTTTTTTTTTTAAAGAAGATGTTGGGGGTAGGAGTTTATTAATTAATTTATTTATTTTTGCTGTGTTGGGTCTTCGTTTCTTGTGCGAGGGCTGTCTCTAGTTGTGGCAAGCGGGGGCCACTCTTCATCGCGGTGCACGGGCCTCTCTCTTACTGTCGCGGCCTCTCTCGTTGCGGAGCACAGGCTCCAGACACTCAGGCTCAGTAGTTGTGGCTCACGGGCCTAGTTGCTCCGCGGCATGTGGGATCCTCCCAGACCAGGGCTCGAACCCGTGTCCCCTGCATTAGCAGGCAGATTCTCAACCACTGCGCCACCAGGGAAGCCCTGTGATGCACTATTATTCATCCTTATTAGATTTGGTAGCATAATGAACATAAGGTGCTAGTCCCAAACATAGCCTATAAATACTGTGTGGTCGAGAACTTTTCTCCAGTTGCTTGTTGAGAATAACAGTTTTTAAATGTAAAACCTTGACCTTAGTTGATGTTTTAAATCTTTTTAAATCTGTTCAGGTGCTTCTAATATGTGACAATGTTGGGAAACACTACAAGGTAAACTAGGACCAGGTGTGAAGGCTGAGTGAGACTAAGGAGAGTAGAAAGGCAAAATGAAAAAGGGAAACCGATATGGGATGAAAGAGTTGGGAAAGACTTTATGGGCAGGGTAGGGTACAAAAAGGTAGGTAGAATGATAAGGAAAACTACCTGTCCTTTGGAGAGCCCTGAAATACCTATGCACTATATCCAAAAAAATATTTCCAGTACCGTTTGTATAGTTGAAAATAAGTTCTAATAGCCCATTCACAGAAGGAAACAGATAGCATAGGCTGAAATAGTGACATTTGGACCAGAACCAGGCCCTGCAGAGTACAGAGGAAGATAAAGGTTTTTGTACATGTAGAGATCATTGTAAATGATGGCATTAGAGTAGCATGTGAGGGTGAAGAGTGAATAAAAAAATTTTTTTTAAGGAAGAGGGCTCAGGGACTTCCCTGGCAGTCCAGTTGTTAAGACTTCACCTTGCAGTGCAGTGGGTGCGGGTTGGATCCCTGGTTAGGGAGCTAAGATCCCACATACCTGGCGGCCAAAAAACCAAAACATGAAACAGAAGCAGTGATGTAACAAATTCAGTAAAGACTTTAAACATGGTCCACATCAAAAGAAATCTTTAAAAACTGTTTAAAAAGTAAAAGAAGGCGGCTCAGGTTGTAAAGTTAAAGAAAATAAGGGAATAAATAGGAATCTGGTGTCACAAGACCTTGAATGCCAGGCTGAGGTTTATGGACTTGCCTTGTACCTTGCTTTGTAGAGTCATGAAATGAAAATTGTGTTTAGGAATGGTGATAGAGTGAGTGTGAGGCCTAGATGCTAGAGAGAGGGAGATGAGTTAGAAGGCCATAGTGGTGGTCCAAATGGGGGTAGTGGGAGCCTATACCAAGAGAAGGACAGGTCTGGGTACGAGTTCCATAATAACAGATACTGAAGACGAAATCAAAGATCTTCAATCTTCACTGATAAAAATGTTCCATGTTGAACAAGATACCGTGTAGGACAGGATATTAGCGCCAATTGAATGGTTTGGGGGAAGGGTGATAAAAAGAGCGATGGTCTATGTTGGTTCTCCAGATTGTTCTGTAGTATTTAAGTCTTTTGCAGAATACTAAAACCTACTAAATCAGAATATCTTAGGATGGGCCTGGATTTCTGGAGTTTTTTGGCAAAGCAACCCTAGGGTATTCTGTTGTCGTCCCTCGATGAGAATCATTGAATTAAACATAGGCAGAATGAGAAGCGGTATTCTGTGGTCAACACCAAAATAAACTAAGCTGGAGGCAGAATTTATTACACAATTGGTCTTCAAAGTGTTGCTAATTAACACATAATATATTTGAGTGTTTAAAACTATTAAAATGTTCAAAGAATTCAACATATGTGTTTTAATATTGAGATTAAAACAAAAAGTTATAATGGAATCTGTAAACAACATTTGAAAATCTTTTAATCAAGTTGAACCTTCTCATTTTCAGGCAAAACTAAGGATCAGAGATTTTAAACACTCTAAGTCACAGAGCTAAAGGGTAAGAGCCAGAGACCTGAGTCCTGTTCTCAGATTCTCTCCCCTCATCCTGTTCCTTTTGCCACTAAAGCAGAAGGAACTACTAAGGCAAGCAGCTAAAATTCCAGCTACTTTTCCTCTCTCTGATGCACTTAAGTCTAGTTCAGATATTCTCTGGAGATAAGGAAAAGGGAGCATATTCGTTTCTCATGACTCCTGTACAATTACCACGAACTCGGTGACTTAAAACAACAGAAGTGTATTCTTTCACAGATCTGGAGGCCGGAAGTCTGTTATCAAGATGTCAGCAGGGTTGTTCTCCCTCCCGAGCCTTTGGAGGGTACTTTCCTTGCATCTTCCAGCTTCTAGTAACTCTGTATCACTCTAATCTCTGCTTCCCTGGTCTCATTGCCTCCTCTTCTCTGTGTGTAATCTCTCCCTGCCTCTCTCTTATAAAGACACTTGTGATGGCATTTAAGGCCCACTAGGATGAAATCCCCACGGCAAGATCCCTCATCACATCTGCAAGGGCCCTCTTTCTTTATAAGGTAATATTTTCAGATTCCAGGGATTAGGATCTGATCTTTTGGGGAACCATTATTCAGTCTCCTACGGGAGGTCAACATGGAGGTGGAGGGGTTATGGCTCCCAGTCAGGTTCTACAACTGTGCAGCAGCACAGCAGAAATTATTACGCCCAAACTGATGAATCTCTTGGCATTTGATTGAGACATGAACGTTATTAAAAAACATCAGTGGCGTCCATCAGAAATATAGCATCTAAACTAACAGGTCTCAGCTGGTCACTCAGGACCCAATCATGAGGTAGAATTGAGTCTGATGACATCTCTGCACCAGTCAGTATATCTGTTTGGAACTTAATAAACCTTATTAATTCAGAGAATCATGCAAAAACAGATACAGCCTGGGCAAAAGTTT